CAATATAAAACTGGATGCACCTAAGAATGTAGCAAATGGCACACTCACATGAACAACTCCATATTTAAAAGAACTATTCTATTCCTTTTTATTTTTCTTTTCAGTTTTTGCGCATCTCAATTAATTCTTTGGACCTTAGAACTATTGATCTGGTAAAAATTTCATTGACTATCTGCAACTGAAGAAGGACTCAAGCTTATCAAAATGTTTCTATCAAATCATTCGGTCATTCGAAGTATTTATCAAATTCATCTTTACTAATCTTAATTTGTAAAAATGTAATGTATTTATTTAAGGACAAATTTAGTCATAAAATCACATTATTTAATTAATATTAAAAATAATTGGAATGCACTAAACTACCAACCTAACATGGCCTAACATTTTTTAACTAAACTATTAAAACTCACCCGGTAGTTATGCACAACCTTTTTGGTTCACTTTATCGTTGGATCCCATGATTTATCGTTGGATCCCTGATTTACCTGGTCGGACACCTCAACCAAATCCTATACATTTTAAGAAAAAAATGTGATTATTGAGTTAACTTCATATACTAACCCCTTAAACAGTTAAACTATTGATCCCCATGTATTATTCTTTACATCCTGATTCTATTGGTTACAAAGTCACTGTACTTGATGCAACGATTGATATTATGGAATCATTTGTTGGGTTATTATTTATAAGTCTAATTACGTGTATTCTCCCCTATAAATAGTACCAAATCAAAATCTCGTCAACACCCATGTAGAATCAAGAAAAGTTATCACGGTAAGTATAGGAAAATGGTCAAAGCCACGAGGCCTCCCCAACCCCAAGTGTATCAAAGGCCAAATCAATAAACAAAGACTAAGAACAGAGGAAGGAAGAAGTTTCACAGAAACTTAAACGAAGACACTCAAACACCACAAAGAGAAAGAGAGAGAAAGAAGAAGCTAAGCTTAACCGAGAGAAAGCTAACAGCTTAAAACGATTAATTATCTTCAAAGCATCCGGGAAAACTGGTCAGTTTCATTAGTACTCTCCGTACAAAGTCTCCTTTTTATTTTAATATTATATATACTATTTTCCATCTTGGACTTTGTATTCTTAATCTGATTAGTTGTTATTGTTACTTAGATCTGGCTTAAACTTGTTGCTGATCTTCTTCTGTTTGTCTTTTGCTTCTTCTGGTTATTGTTACTGTTAAAACTTTGAAATCCCATTTCTAGTTTCATGCATTCATGTATTTTAGTTTTGGATTGATTGATGATCAATTTCTGCTTTGTGGATATTTTCTGATATTAGTGGGTTCTAAAGATGGGACTGAAGTTGATTTCAAGTTTCTGTTCGTTTTTTATTGATAAGGTTGTTTTAATATGTCATTTGTGTTCTTGTTTTTCTGTCATTGTGCAAGTTTTGTGTTGACTTTGTTTAATCTTTAGTTGAATATGTTCCGATCATGCAAGGAATTATTTTACTGATTTTGATTTAGCTAGTTTGAGTTTCTTTGTTGGTTATATGAATTTTTTAGTAGTTTCATTTCATTTGTGAGGAAGTCTTGAAGCTATTTTTGCTTAAATTATCATTGTTTTTCTGTTTGTTAAATTTAAGGTGGGCAAGAGCAAAAGGGAAGAAGGCCATGGCTATGGGGACTGTCAGACATTATTCCGGAAATGGAAGAATAAGAAAACTTGATTGCAGCGAAACACTTTTCAGGGCTTAGGGTCAAATGAAAACCACACGAAGGATATGAAGAAAATGGTGCAAGCTTGGTTCCCAATTGTCCACCATGGCAACATTGATGATGAGAAGGTGGAGGGAGTCAGTGAGATTAAAGAACAGCTTAATGTTGTTTCAGGAAAATTATTGGTCGGGAGGAAATCATCTTGATTTGGGACTCAGGATAATGAAGGTTTGATTATCTGAATGCTGCTGTGAACTTCGAAAATTGATTAGATTAGGGTTTTTATGTTCGAAGAAAGATGAAGAAGGGAAGGAGCTGTTACGAAGACGCATAATGTTCTTCAAATAGCTATGGCAGACTTGAGAAAGAATTCAGACACTTGCTCTGCAAAACGGCAACCTTTTGAGCCAGAACCAGTCTTTTCGTTCAGTGAAGATGATGCTGTAGATGATAGCTCAGTGTTTCTTTTGGTATCATGTCAGACACACAGCAGACTCGAGGATTTCACAGTTGATTTGGTCAAACCAAATGTGATTACTGATCTCAGTTGCATTGCCAATTTATGTTCATCTTATTATGATCATGAATGTTGCCAGGCTTCATGCCCGGAGATGCCTTGGATGAATGTCTCTTCTTCTTGAACTGGAGAAACTGATTATTGAGGATGTGCCTAAGATGAAATGGGCTAACTTGAATTCCAAGATCAAAGATGGGTTTGGGCTATGAAGATCTTTGTGCGCATCTATCTTGCGTGAAATATGCTCAGCGTGCAAATATTTGGGGTGTTTGGATCAATTAATTTATCATGCTTTGTGAGGCTTCGAAGGCTTCAATGTTGCAGCTTCTGAATTTTGGTGAGCTGTCTATTGGCCCCCACCAGCCAGAAAAGTTATTTTACCTTCTTGACATGTATGAGGTACAGCAATCTTCTTCCAATATACATGGAATGTACTTTGATGAAGTTTTTTCTTCGTTAGAATCAAGTATCATGAGGTTTTGAGGAGATTGGGATTCGGTGAGATCACATTTCTGGAATTTGAGAATGCCATTTCTTCATGCAAATCACTAGCCCATTGGCAGGGAGGAATTCACCTTGACCAATATTGTGTAATTACATCAGGAATCTAACTGACTACCGTAATACCCTGAATTTGCTTTTGAAGAACAATGATAAAGAGGATTCTAGTTCACAATCATCTAACATGAGTACGGATATGGAAGAGGAGGACACAAGTGAAGGTTTTTCATGCAATTCTTCACCAATGGCTCTCCGATATCGATCAGTTGCTTCAGTTCTAGAATCCAAACTTCATGATAAATCAAGTCTATACAAGGATATTTCATTGCAGCACTTCTTTTTGATGAACAATATACATTACATGGCTCAAAAGGTTGAGAATTCAAAACTTAGGCCCATTTTTGGTGATAGCTGGATTCGAAAGCACAACTGGAAATTTCAACAGCATGCAATGGGCTATGAAAGAGCTACTTGGAGCTCAATCCTCGCTTTATTTAAGGAGGAGGGGAATTCTATTTGGGGAGGTGCTTCGAGAACCCAACTCAATGAGCAGTTCAGGAACTTCAATCTTGCATTTGATAAGGTTTACAAAACCCAAACAACATGGCTCATCCCAAATGCTCAGCTTCGAGAAGATTTACGAATGTCAATATCCCAAAAAGTGGTTCATGCTTACCGCTGTTTTTTGGGTAGACACATGTATCGTCTCAGACACATGTATCAGATAGGTCTCAGACACCTGAAATACACTCCTGAAGATCTACAGAATTACTTGTTAGATCTCTTTGAGGGATCCTTAAAATTCTTGCATAATCCATACCGGAGGTGATAGGAGCGATATAACTATATCAATCTTTGTGATTTTTTTTTTCTCTAAGAAATTATAGAGGAATAACTTTTTGTAATTGATAGACTAGTTGTTCTTGTGCAATTTTTCCACTTGGTATCTCCACTCTTTTTCTCAGTTCCAAAATATTTAATCTTATATGAATGAGTAAAATTTTTCATATGCAGTATTTCTGTACTCTCCTTATAATCCACCACCTGAATATGTCATAAAGGCCAAAATGGTTTTCTAACAGCTACTTTCTTTGAGTTGAGACTGAATGAGGAGTCAGTGGTAAGGGATTCTTCGCCGGTTTCCTCCAGGTCATCATCATCTTCTCCGTACTCCATCAGCTTGACCAGAGTATCTGAAACAACTAATGATTTGGATAACAAAATAGAACAGATTTAGGAGGACAACAAATGTGACCAACTAAAGAAACCTTTTATCTTGGAGATAAGAGGAGGCAAGATAACCTCTTCCATGTGCATCATAAATCTCATAGCATTTGTTGTTGATATGCCTAAAAGTGCCGCTCCAAAAACGTGAATAAGAAGACCGATTGCTAGCAAAACACCCAAACAACATGGCTCATCCCAAACGCTCAGCTTCGAGAAGATTACGAATTTCAACATCTCAAAGTGTGATCCAAGCTTACCGCACTTTGGAGTAGACAAAGAATCGGATATGCACACATTAATACAGTGCTGATGATCTACAGAATTCTTGTTAGATCTCTTTGAGGGATCCTCAAAATCCTTGCATAATCCATACCGGGGTGATGGTAGCAAAAAACTTGATCATCTCTGTGATTTTTATTTTTTATTTTTCTAAGAAATTATGGAGGAACTTCTTGTAATTTGATAGACTGGTGGTTCTTGTGCAATTTCTCCACCCTACTCCTTTTCTCAGTTCCAGATTATTTAATCTTATTGAATGAAATTTTCATATGCAGTGTTTTTGTACTCTCTCCTTTAATAATATCATTAAGCAAGAATTTCATGAAAAAAAGAGATGTTATGTGTGTAACATGATAATTAACCATAATTTATTATAACAACATGATATATGAAATATGTTCAAAATATACAAATAATAGAATATCACGTAATTCTTTATCACTAGTTTGGAAGAAGATATGTTTAATTATGATGGTCAATTAAAGTTGTAGGCTAGTAATTAATGGCCAACTTGGCATATGATCAAAAAGATTTTTGTTAGCCCATCACTTTGGAAAATGAATTTTCGCTTATCTCCAACTTGAAATAATTGCCTAAAGAAAGAGATTTGACTTAATAAACCATTTTTATATCACCGAGATTTCCGGGGAAGTCACGCTGATCATTATAAAACAAAGCAAATTGTGTTCATAGGAACATATAGGAAACTGAAAACTAAAATGAGTCCTCCACATATTCTTGTTATTCCTTTTCCTGCACAAGGCCATGTAATTCCTTTCCTGGAGCTTTCATTATGCTTAGTTAAGCATGGCTTCAGAGTCACATTTGTCAACACAGATCATCTCACAACCGGGTCATCAACGCATTACCGGAAAATTCTATAGGGGATGGAATCCGTCTGGTGTCGATTCCAGATGGATTGGAAGCCGGGGAGATAGAAATGATATAGGGAAGCTATGTGCAGCAATGCCGAGTGAGGCCGGGAAGCTGGAGGAGCTCATTGAAGAGATCAACAGAGTGAAGAAGATAAGCTTGTTTGTGTGATTGCTGATGGGACGGTTGGATTTGCTCTTGAAGTTGCAGAGAAGATGAAAATTAAGAAGGCTGCCTTTTGGCCTGCATCAGTCGCTACTCTGGCTTTCTTTTACATATCCAAAGATGATTGATGATGGATAATTGACAGTAATGGTAACACGCCTAACTCGTTTTCTACCCTTTCCATCTTCCTCTGTAAACTTTTTGCAAGTTAAAAGTCACTGAATCACCTCTTTGTTGTGTAAATTTGTTTCCAGGGACTCCGTTCAAGAAACAAATGATTCAGTTTCACCCAACATACCTGAAATCAACAGTACAAACTTTTTTGGGCAAACATTGGTGGCGGCGTAGCCCAAAAATACTTTTGACTATTTAGGAGCCCACAGAAGCTGTGAAATTTGCAGATACCCTTATTGGCAACTCACTATGGCTTGAACCTGGGCATTCAACTTGGTCCAAATATGCTTCCATAGGACCTCTTTTGGCGAGCAACCGACAAGGAAATTCAACAGGATACTTCTGGCAAGAGACTCAGCATGCTTGGAATGGCTTGATCAACAACAGCCTAACTCAGTCATTTATGTTGCATTTGGCAGCTTCACATTATTACACAATCCAATTCCAAAGCTGGCACTAGGACTTGAACCTCCACAAGCCATTCCTGTGGGTTGTTGGCCAACATTACTGATGGTGCCAATGAAGCCTTCCCAGATGGGTTTGAAGAAAGGTAGCCAACCGTGGGAAAATGGTGGGTTGGGCGCCGCACAGAAGGTTTTAAGTCACCCTTCCATTGCCTGCTTCGTTAGCCATTGCGGTTGGAATTCAACCTGGAAGGTTTAAGCAATGGGCTTCCTTTCTTATGTTGGCCATACTTTGCTGACCAGTCATCGATGAGAGCTACATTTGTGATCTTGGAGGTAGATTGCGGTTTAAAAGAGACGAAAGTGGAATCATTACAGAGAAAAATTAAAAGTAAATAGATCAAGTGGTTGGTGATGAAAAATTTAAAGAAAGAGCTTTAGCACTCAAGAAACTGCCATAGAAACTGTTAAAGAAGGTGGTCAGTCGAACAAGTGTTTGAACAAATTCATTGAATGGATCAAGGCATAGGAACTGGCCACAAGTGATGATGGATCATTGTTGGAAAATAAAATGATGGATCATTGTTAGAAATCTCTGCCATCACAACCAGGGTTTTAATTCCATCGTGTATTTCCTTTTATCATTTATTCGAAGAATCAAAGTCATTGTTTTTTAATTTGTAATAGTCTTTTGCATTGCGAGGAATAAGCTCATCATTCCCTTTTACTTGATTTGGATCAATCGATCTTAATGGTTTGTAAACTTTTTCAACTGTTCTCCTTGATTCTACTTAATTATTCAAACTTTAGAAAGAAGAAAAGTCTCTCTCCCATCTCTTTCTCCCGGAAAACCACAGTACGGTGCCTCTCTCTCTCTCTCTCTCTCTCTCTCTCTCTCTGTGTCTGTGAAATGAGTAGAATAAGGACGAGGAAGTCTTTGAAGAAGCATCATTTATAGTTAAAACAGAAGAACCCAGCTTCCAATGCCTGTATGATTAATAACCCCACTTCCTTTCAGAACAACTTGTGCTACGTGTAGTGCTACAGTTTAGGCTTTCTTGTGTTATTTTATGCATATATTTTTCATTATACCATAACTTTTTTATGCTCTGCAGAGAAAAAGTAGAAGAAGTCTTTCAAGACTAAGCATTCAACAGATATTAAAAATATAATAATTTTTTTCTGCAGCCCATTTTGAATATTGACAAATCTTTGAAAAATCACTTTCTATTTTGTTATATCTGTCGTGTCTTCTCATCACTTAGTTTGTATGTTGAATTTTCTTGTTTTCTTTTTAGCATATATCATTTTCTGCTTGCCTAGCTTGGATTTTTATACTCAAATAAAAAAAATAAACCTCTGTGTTCTTTGTTTTTGCACATTAGAATGCTTGAGTTAACTTTCAATATAGAGATTCTACTTAATTATGCAAATGGATCGAGAGATTACCATGTACTTTTGTTGCTTTCAAGGATTAGGAATTGCATTATTTTGCGTGTTTTGCTGTCGAAGTTATCTACTATTTTAGTGTAAAGTAAAGCTCATAAATTCCGGATCAAACAAAGACCCCCCATCTTTAATTTACTCATTTTGGTTGGAAACAATTTCCAAATTCATAGACTGAAATCCACAAATTTTTTGGCTATATTATTCTTGTTCCCTAACATTAGTGTGGATTATGCTAGGTTTATGCGTATTTGATAGGATAGCTATATCATTAACCCAATTTCAAAGTAGCTTTGAAAACTAGGTTTTGAAACTGGGATCCACATGAATAAGACCATAATGATTGAAGAAGGTTAAATCCAAGTTGGATTTTCAAGACCCTTTTTGGAAAAGTATGAAGAATTAAACTCTCAATCTCTCATACGTCTCTATTTAATTTCCATTGCCGTGTCGTCCTTTAGTCACCCTTGAACTTGCTCCATGCATATCTATCAGGGGATGTTTTTACATTGGTTGATAAGATCTGTTTTAAGATTTTGGGACATAATACTGTTAGCATAACTTCTTTCTTCTCTTCCTTCTCTAGCTCTTCTCATTAATTACTTCAAAACGAATAAAAAATCTAGTTTTATTATAAGTTTTATTCTTGAGCTTAGTTAAGCCATTTAATACGATTATTGTGCAGTCATTCGGAATGATAATTCTCTATTAGGGAGAAGATATTTAGAATGACTCAATTTGGAAGGAAGATATTCAGATTGACTTAGACTCAAACTAAGTATCGGAAGATCATGCAACTTCATAATTCTATGTATTTTTTATCTCAACTCTATCATGTAATTGGATGCTATAAACTCATCATAACTTGTTTTCAAAGGGCTGGGAATTGTTCTAACAATTTTCCTAGAATTATACGATTCTTTATAAGCTCTCAAAAGTAGAGATAACAGTGGACGTAGACTTAGTTACTTGAATTTTGAAAAGTAATGTCTAACTTCTATGCCGAACCACTTTAAAATTGTCTTGTGTTCTTATTTATGATTCTTTCTTTTTTGTTCGTGTTGATTTTCATTAAATAAACGCACATCCATTCCGTTCTAGCAGGGTCAATCATAATTCTCAGTGGTGCAGATTTCTGTATCAACATTTTGGCGCTAGTAGGAGGCTTGATTCATAGCAGCTCTCCATGTTTTTTCCTCAAGTCTCAACTCTTCACAAATCCCAGCTTCTTAATCTAAATCACGTCGTCAAATGTGAAAATCTGAGTAGGATAAAGTCTGAATCTGGCTAATGGTAACACAAGAATGTAGCTCTTTGAGTTAGCTTTCCGATGGTCTAGAATCATCCAAATCCGAGATTTTCACTCAAGTTATCATCAAAATACTAAAGCATGTTCCAAATCAGAACTATCAGAGTCAGATCCCTCAGATCACGTGCTTAGATCACTATGATCTTTAGCTTCAGATCGTGGCCAAATCGCTCGGATCGTGCGCTCAGATCTCTCAATTAGAAAGAGCTCTCAACTCTTAAGCTAGCTCTCTATCTCTTAAGTTATCGAGCTGTCAAGCTCTCTAGCTCCCAAGCTATCGAGCTCTCAAGCTAGCCTCTACCTCTCAAGCTCTCTAGCTCCTAAGCTATCGGCTCTCAGCTAGCTCTCGAGCTCCCACCTATCAAGCTCTCAAGCTAACTCTCTAGCTCTCCATGCTTCTAATTGAACATTGCTCTATCAAACTCTTCATGCTTTCTGATCGAGCTATGCCTTAGAACATTCTTCATGCTTTCTGATCGAGCTATGCTCTTAGATCAAGCTCTCCATGCTTCTGATCGAGCTATGCCTCAAATCAAGCTCTTCACGCTTTCTGATCGAGCTATGCTCTCAAATCAAGCTCTTCCGCTTTTTGATCGAGCTATACTCTAAATCAAGCCTCCACGCTTTCTGATTGAGCAATGCTCTTAGATCAAGCCCTCCACGCTTTCTGATTGAGCAATGCTCGATCAAGCCCTCCACCTTTCTGACGAGCAATGCTCCAGATCAAGCTCTCCACTCTTTTTGATCGAGTTATGCTCTCAGATCAACCTCTTCATGATTTCTGATCGAGCTATGCTCTCAATCAGTTCTCCACGCTTTCTGTCGAGCTATGCCTCAAATCAAGCTCTCCACTCTTTCTAATCGAGTTTGCTCTCAGATCAAGCTCTCCATGCTTTTAATCGAGTTATGCTCTCAAATCAAGCTCTCCACCTTTCTAATCGAGCTATGCTCTCAAATCAACTCTCCACGCTTTCTAATCGAGCTATGCTCTCAGAACAACTCCCCCACATTTTCTGATCGAGTATGCTCTCAGATCAAGCTCTCTATGCTTTCTGATCGAACTATGCTTTTAGATCAAGCTCTCTGCGCTTTGTAATCGAACTCCTCACACTTTTAGATCGAGCTTCTTGTGCTCTTGATCGAGCTCTCTATGCTTTTAGATTAAGCTCTTTATGCTCTCTAATTAATCTCACAAGCTCGCTCATTTGCTTGAGATCACGTGTTCAAGATCTCTTGATCCTTAAATCGCGGCAAGCATAATTCAAGTTCTTCAGTTCGAGACTGCAGCCTATAATGCGACAACCATCCAGATCAAGACATGAGTTTTTGAAGCGTGATTATGCACTCCAAAAACTGGGGCTATTGTTGGGTAGTTAACCGGGAGAGGATATCCCTATTAGGAGAGAAGATATTTAGATGGCTCAATTTGGAAGGAAGATATTCAGATTGACGTAGACTCCAACTAAGTAGCGAGGATCATACAACTTCCTAATTCTACGTATTTGATCTTATCTTACTCATCATAATGGTTGCCATAAAACTCATCATAACTTGTTTTCAAAGGGCTGAAGATTGTTCTAAGCAAATTTTCCTAGGAATTACACTGTTATTTAGTCCAAAAGCAAGAAGAATCATGGACATAAGCTCAAGTTCTACTTGCCGAACCTTTAAAATTGTCTTGTGTTCTTATTTATGATTCTTTCTTTTTGTTCATTGCTGATTTCATTAAATCACCACACATCTATTCTGGTTCCGAAAGGGTCAATCGGCATTCTCTGTTGGGCAGATTTCTATATCAACAACGATATAAGGAAGAAAGAAAGAAGTTATGGTAAGGGTATTATGATCCAAATCTATAATTTGTTATCAAAAGGAGAAAGCACAATGTAAATGCAATGAATGCACTCATTGTTTATCTGTCAAACCAATAATTATGTTATGCAATTATTTTAAAGTTTACAAATATTATTGGTTGTTAGAATTAAAAAGAGAAATAAACACTAATGTCATTATTCATAAACCTGATACATATACGATGTGATACATTTAATAAATAATATTTTCTTGTTATCAATATATCATATATAGTTAAAATTAACAAAGCAAAATAAGAAATATAATATATGATATTCATCCACTTGATATATGGATAATATGATACATCTAATGTATGAGTATTTTTTTTTTAAATAAAAATTAATGTTAGGTTGAAAAGATAGTAAACTAATACATACATAAATGATATATATTCGGTTGATGCGATTTTTTCGCACCAATGAGAAATACATAATCTATGGGATTTTACGCAAGGGTTGGTAATAAACTGATAATTTAGTGTTGGATAATGCTAAGTGATAAATATACAAAGAGCTGAAGATTTTTAAATGGTTCAGATCAAGTACAAATCCTATATCCATTATTTTTATTGTTTTTTTTTTTTTTTTTTTTTTTTTTTTTTTGTGTGTGCTTTTAAAGTTCAAGCAATCTCAATCCTCAACCAAATG